GTTGACCAATTGCCGTCCTTGTAAACTATGTTGCCCGTTGACAGATGTGGCAGTCTCCAATTCTGCATGACCATTAAGAATTTGACACGAAGAAGAAGTATCTGTCCCAAACGGGGATTGTATTGACCCAGGTGACGTAACATCGGTCGTTGAGGCATCAATGAACTCCTCCAAGTCCATGTACTCTTGAAAAAAGTCACTCTCCTCCGACTTGATCTCGCAACTGTTCATGGCTGAAATAAGATAAATAATATATTTTACACAAAGTTGACTCAATAGAATAACAATACTACTAGAATGATGTAAATAATGTAGCAGTTTCAATGCTGAAGCTAAGGGAATACAATTTATAGTCGCAATTCTATTGTTGATGATCACATCTTCCAATTGTCGTTGCTGTTGTATTTGCCAAACTCACTAGTACCTTCGGTACTATTCGGTACTACCTTCGAGTGACTAAAGGATATAGCGAAGCGATCTGCTTAGAGCAGTGGTTTTTATTCAGTGAACTAGCCAAACTCTGCTTTACTAGTGCACACGAACTGCCAAACTCCTAGCGCAAGTGCTTATCAAAAGATTTCCAAAGGAAAGAAAGCAAAATAAGTTAGCCATTTTGACGCCTGAGTACTAAACTGGAGCAAAATAAACACGGCACCGCTGGTCAAACGAAACTGCCAAAAGCTCCGTTTTCGTCTCGCTCCGTTTAGAAACCCTGCTCAAACTGTTGCAACAAATGTGACGTTTTAATTTCAAACTATTTCGCTCCGCCGCAGTGAGAAGGCGACGGCTAACAAGTTGTTACAAATCTGTTGCAAACAAGTTGTTACAAATCTGTTCCCAAGCTGTCAACAAGTTGTCTTCGCACTGCTTGTTCCCAGTTGTTGTAACGAATTTGGAACAAGCTGTTAACAACTTGTAACAAGCTTGATGGCATTATCAGAATTGTCACAAGGTTGTTCTAACAAGTACTATGTTATCGACCATGAAATAACAAAATCGTTCAGTTCAGGAGCAAATTATGGAGTTTTTCTTCGCTTTTTTGTTTTCTTTGAAATTTGGCATATAATATAATATAATACTTATTGACTGGTAACGTCGGGAAACAGTATGTTTTGTGGACCTTCGACACAATATACTGTTTCCTTCAGTCCCAGGTATAAATGTTAATTATCTATGACAAGAATGACAATACAATTTCCAATTTCCTATTCGAAATAACGTTGGTATTAAGTTTTCGAATCCCTCCGCTTTTGATATTTTGAAAACGCATTCACCTGTCTGCGTCCACACTAACGTTTTCGGATCGTTCTCACAGTCTGTTGAGATAAGTACTTTTAGTGTTTAAAGTTTGAACTATATTTACATGGTTGATATCATTTAGCATAAATTAACATAACGTACCGTAATACAGTTAATATATACAGTACATCGGACACGTGACTATACGTTCGTTGAACGTTATTTAGATCCGCCATTATCGGTGTAGTTGTTGTTTTCAAGCGGGAAAACCATATTTTGTGAACCTTTTAGCTTCTTTTACAACAATAAGTTACATAATCTAACAGGTTATGGGCCCAGGATCGTGGTAATGGATAGCCAAACGATAAAATGGCTAGTTTTTAACGGAAAAGCTGAAAACTACCCAGCATGAAGCACAAAGTTCACCGCGTATATGCAAACGAAAGGTTTATACAAAGCGCTTCTCGGGAAAGAAGTCGCACCGGAAGAGATAGCACCGCTAGCAGGGGATGCTTCAGACGAGCAGAAGGCCGAATGGGAGGCAAAAGTTCAACAAAGAAATAAACAAATCGAAGAAATTGAAGAAAGAAATAATACGGTATGGTGTCATATTGCTTTAGCCCTCGACAATAATAGTCTTTTATATATAAGACATGATTGCCTGTCATCAGATGGTGTTGGGAACGGGGAAAAGGCCAACTGTAGTAAGTCTAGTTCGTCAAATTTCTCGATTATAGTTAAATGAAAATGAAAAATTATCCGAATATTTTATACGAGCGCAAGAATTAATGTCTCGATTAACCGAAGCTGGTGAAAAGATATCAGAAACACTATTCAATGCCTTAGTTATAAACGGACTTCCAGAGAAATATGAGCACTTCATCGTACAGGAAAGTTGTAATCCTGCAGCAAATTTCACCGAATTACGAACACGTTTACAAAATTATGATGATAGTCGACTACAAAGAAATCAAGCAAAAGAAGATAGTGCAACAGCTATGTATTCTGGAAATACGTCAGGAAGAAACGAAGGTCCAAGCAAGTCGAAGGGAGATTGTTTTGTATGCGGAAACCCTGGACATTTCGCCAAGCAATGTAGTAAAAGAAGTTCAGCTTACTGCTCAAAGTGCAAGAAAAAGGGACATTTACCAAAAGCATGCAGAGGTTCAAGTAAACCTGATAAATCCACAAAAGAACCCAACTCATTTGCATCATATTCTCATGTATGAACAGTGGTACTGAAACAAGCAGTGGTACTGGCAAACCAAATCATCTCATTATCGATACTGGTTGTACTGATCACATCATTAGCCAAAAGGAACTGTTTGAAAACTTACAACCTTGCAGCATCAAAAATGTTAAAGATCCAAAGGGAAATTTTACTCCTGTTGAAGGAATTGGTGATGTACCAGTAAAGCTTCATCTGAAAAATGAAAAAGAGGAAGAAATGGTTCTACGAAACGTACTTTATGTGCCAAACTATGAAGTGAACCTGCTTTCTGTCAATCGATCCGTCAGATTTGGACACAAATTCCTATTTAATAAAAGTGAAGCAAAGTTAAGATTAAATCATGGTCCACAAGTCGATCTCACTGAAGACAGTGGTTTATTTTATCTGAAGATTACCTTTCAAAGGTCCAGTGCATGTCATTCTACCACTTACAACACAAGTAAAGCAGCAATCAAAGGAGGTATTAATCTGTGGCACCAAAGGCTCGGACACTTAAACAAGGATGACGTCAAACACACCATTGGCTGTGAAGATAATTTGAAGGAAGTATGCGAAACGTGTGCACTTGGAAAGCAATCTAGTAAACCTGTACCGAAAGAAACGCAGAACAAGTCGCAGAAAGCTCGCGAACTCGTTTACTCAGATATACTCGGTCCATTTGAAGTACCTAGCCTCAGTGGATCCAGATATGCGATTACATTTATCGACGAATACTCGAAACATTCCATCGTAAAGTTTATGAGCAAGAAATCCCAAGCTTTTGAAAAATTTAAAGAGTATGTAGCTGAATATGGAACACCTCAAAGACTGAGAACTGACAATGGAGCTGAATACACATCGAAGCAATTCAAGGATTACTGCAGAGACTAAAAAATAAAGCAAGAATTTACTGTTCCAGAAACCCCACAACAGAACGGAGTTGCAGAACGCTTCAATCGAACTGTAGTTGAAATGGGACGGTCTCTGTTAATCCAAGCCAAGTTACAAAAGTGCTACTGGGTAAGAGCCTTATCTACAGCAGCTCACATACGAAATCTTACAGTAACTGCCAATAGCAACCAAGGAAAGAGTCCCTTTGAACTCTTTACCGGAAAACCACCAAGGCGCAACCACCTACGAGTTTTTGGCTGCACGGCATATGTTATGAAAAGAAAGATCAACATGAAGAAGCTGGATTCGAGATCGGTGAAAGCAAAATTTATCGGTTATGATGACAAAAGCACAGCCTACATCTTGCAAGAATTCGACTCAAAAAGGTCATCAAAGCACGTAATGTCATCTTCAAAGAGAACGAAATGCAGTCATTCTCAGCCAGAGAAACGATGAGTCCGGACAACCCAAACCTTGTGAGTCCCAATATGGATTTTGAAGATGATCGCTCGAATGACGAAGCCACAAAGATACCGGTCCAAGCTAGAGTGGGGGAAAATGATAAGACACCTGTTGTTCAAAAATCCACATCAAGTCGAAGAAAACCCTGAGGAAGACGAAGTCGCACTCCCCAGAGAAAGCAGAAATCGTCGCCCCCCGGAACGATTTGGATTACCCTACACGTTTAACATAACAAAAGAGGAAAACATACAAGAACCCAAGTCATATAATGAAGCAATTCGTTCACCGCATGCAGAAAACTGGAGAAAAGCTATGCAAGCAGAGTACGAGTCACTAATGGACAATAATACCTGGACATTAGTCGATGAACCAGAAGATCAACAAGTCTTACCTGGAAAATGGGTGTATAAAGTAAAGTATGGAGCAAACGGCCAAGTCGATAAGCTCAAGGCAAGATACGTAGCAAAGGGCTATGCTCAAATCGAAGGCCTAGATTTCTTTGACACATACGCTCCAACATGCAAACCAGAATCCTTTAGAATTCTATTAGCAACTGCAGCACGAAAGGACTTATATCTTGGTCAGATGGACGTGAAATCAGCCTACCTTCATTCCAAAAGAGAAGAAGAAATTTATCTGGAGCAACCAGAGGGATTTGTCAAGAAAGCAAACTCAGGACAAAAGCTTGTGTGCAAATTGAACAAATCAATCTATGGTCTAAAACAAGCTGCGAAAAACTGGTATGAAGCTCTGACAAGTCTACTTCTCAAGAAAGGATTCAAACGAAGCTGCAACGACTATTGCCTATTTGTAAGAAAGGAAGAAAATGGAACAAATTCCTATGTGTTAGTCTGGGTAGATGATATAGTAGTGGCTGGAGCGACCGAAGAAGCAATTAACGAAATTAAGTCAATGTTAAATGAAAATTTCAAGATGGATGATCGTGGCGACCTAAACTGGTTCTTAGGAATGCAAATCCTGCGATCGCACGACAAGATTACAGTGGATCAAACGAAGTATATCGAAACTGTTCTCCAATAATTTAACATGAGTGATTGCAAAGCTGTAGCAACACCCGGAGAAGTAAATCTAAAGCTAGTCAAAAGTAACGAAGGAAAGAAATTAGTAGATCCGAAGCTGTATAGAAGTTTAGTTGGCTCTCTTTTATTCATTGGCAAACAAACCCGTCCAGATATTCTAAATATTGTTAATCAGCTGTCACGATTTCTCGATAAACCTGACGAATCACATTGGAAGGCAGCAAAGCGCGTACTGAGATACCTCAAAGGAACTACCGACTTACGATTAACATTCTTGAAGAATTCCAGCTGTGATATTCTTGGCGATTCGGACGCAGATTGGAGTGGGGATCTCAACGATCGCAAATCGACAACTGGATACTATTTTAAATTCGAAGGAAATGGAGGTGCCATCAGTTGGGAGGTAAAGAAGCAAGCAACCGTTGCCTTATCAACAGCGGAGGCGGAATATCAAGCCATGGCGGCTGCTGCACAAGAAGCAATCTACTTACGAGCTCTACTAAATGATTTTGGTTTCCCAATGGAGAAAGCGACAGATATTGGAGAAGACAACCAATCCTGCATTAAGATGTGTCACAATCCCGTGATGCATAAACGGTCAAAACATATCGACGCGAAGCTACACTTCATTCGAGAAAGGGTAGAAAATAAAGAAATAAAGATACATTATGTTCCAACCGAAGAAATGACTGCGGACATTCTTACGAAATCATTACCTCGAGTGAAAGTGGAAAAACACAGAACAGTACTCTTAGGGAATTAAGAACATCAACAACACGTCAGACTCATCATAGTTAAGGACGAGCTGAGTCTGAGTGGGGGTGTTGAGATAAGTACTTTTAGTGTTTAAAGTTTAAACTTATATTTATATGGTTGATATTATTTAGCATAAATTAACATAAGGAACCGTAATACAGTTAATATATACAGTACATCGGACACGTGACTATACGTTCGTTGAACGTTATTTAGATCCGCCATTATCTGTGTAGTTGTTGTTTTCAAGCGGGAAACCATATTTTGTGAACCTTTTAGTTTCTTTTACAACAATAACACACTAGAGCACTTTTTTCTTTTTTTTTCGGTTTTATTCCCTTCATTGTTAATTATAGATGTTATTAGATCTGAAGGGTTACCGTTTTCAAACAATCAAATAATAATAATAATAATAATAGAAAAACGTTACAGGAAGACAAAAAAGAAGTCTATAGAGAAAAAAGAAAACCCTAACGTACATGTATTGTCGCAACCTCGCAAGCCAGGCTCTCTACTTCCGTTTCCCTCCCAAACACGCTCCAGCAGAGACGCTGGTTCACGCTGGTCACGTGACATCATAACTCGCTTTGTCCCGTGGGAGGGTAGGCTTAAGAACCTGAAATGCAAAAGCCTGCCGCACACGAGAGCAACTTGCTGAGCTAACCGCCTCTCGAGGCCTTGAGGAGCGGACCATGGGACCATTGGTCCCAGAAAATTTTTTGAGTTCCCAGAAAATATTTCCCCAAGAAAGAAAAATAATTGTAAAAATTTAATAGATAATTTAATTTAATCAATAGAAATAATGCTACCTGCACTGTAGGTATGGCCTCAGAGATGCAATTATGAATGCATCCATCTTAATAGTGCAATGGTGTGTAAATGTATTAACTGTAGAATAATGTAACAAATATGCTATGACAAACGCATTTTTAGCCAATCTGGAGCAGCTAATTTTCAAAATTTTCTGGGGAGCATGGATCCCCCTGGTAATTCCACCTAGTACTGCCTTTTTAGCATCTTTATTCACCGTAGGATCAGACCCTTCATCAGTGGCATAGCCAGCGGTCCTGCTCAGCAGGAATAAAACTTTCCACAAAATAGAGAAATGATTGTCCAAGTTTCAAACTGTCTAATCTTTTAAAGTGTCCAATCTTGAACTTTAAAAATTCATTGTAATTTTTCTGGTCTTGTTCAATATTTTTATTTTCTGCTTTCTATTACATTTACACAATTTTACAGCCCTGTTACCTAGCAACTGCAACTCTGGAACAGCTCATTTCCAGGTAATACATTGATTTACACACGACGTGTGTCACTCCTGCTATCTGTCAAAGGCAGGAGTTGCCACAATATTTAATACAAGAAATCCTGGTTTATGATTGGATAATTAGCCTGCGCATGCTCAAAACGGCTGTTTTCCAAAGTCAAACTCCTGTTATCTCAAGAAAGCAGGAGTTGGAGTTGTATATCTTTTCTAGCATTTTTCTGCGATATAAATTATGAGCGTATTATTTACTGCCAGATCATGAGTTGTTTGTCTGCTTTATGCATTGAAACAGGAGCGCTTATATACCAATTTAGACTTACAAAGTGTATCAGTGTATGTAGATATTTGACCGCGTTTTATAACCTATGTTACGCTACAATAATACCGTAGCCGCGTAAGCGTACAGATTTGCACCCAGAGTGCCAAGCATAGTGGTCTGTGGTCCGTAGTTGATACCGGTAACGCTATTATAGATAACAGAATGCTAGGTGTAGCTTTATAGTGTAAACGACGTTACAGCACTGCACCGTTATCGGTTTGAATCCGAGTTTGTTAGAGCACTGCACCAGAATCGCAGGGTCATATAGTCCAGTCAATCTGTGACCAGAGGTCAAAGAAATTGCAATAGAATTTTTTTCAGTGGTAAAATGTGAGGAAAGGTGTCCTGATTAACATACTAAAAAAAAAAAAAAATCCCTTCGGTGGAACATGGTGAAAATCGAATTTTTCTTACTTCTACCTATAGAAAACCATTGTGGACAGAATGTTCAAATTTTGAAATCATTTTTAGGCAAATGTAACCTACATTATTGGAAATCTTAAACAAAACTATATAAAGGTCAATTAAACCGTTATATTCAATTTACTGGTCAGTTTGTCGTTATTCTAGCTCAAAGTTGGAAAAATAGCGCAAAATTTGCACAAAATACAAATTTATGGCATTTTAAATCTTGTATAATTTCGGCAGGATAGGCAAAAGCAAGATAACCGTTTAATGATCTATATTTTAGTTTTTTCTAAGCTTTCGAATAATGTAGGTTACATTTGCCTAAAAATGATTTCAAAATTCCAACATTCTGTCCACAATGGTTTTCTATAGGTAGAAGTAAGAAAAACTCGATTTTCATCATGTTCCACCATGGGGATTTTTAGTATGTTAATCAGAACAACTTTTCTCACACTTTACCACTGAAAACAAATCTATTGCGATTACTTTGATCAGGACCATGTACTTATAGTGATTTGACTGGACTACATAGTTGCGTTTTTCGCAACTGTTCCTAAATGTATATAAATTTCCACTCAATAATTCGCATCTACAAGATCCTTCAACTATTATTCAATTGAGTGAAATCACTGAGATGCCAACAAAATCTTGGTATTCAACAGTACACTACAACAATTGTTGACCTTATGCAATTCGAAGTGAAAGATCATATTAAAGAAGTGTATTGAATAGGCAATTCCAGCTTTTAGTTTATGCGTGCAAGGGACGATGGGAAGTAAGGTATCATATTGCTGATTATGCTGAAAAAATAAAAATGGCGACCGTATAAACACGGAGTGACAGCTTAGTATAGGTAATTATGCGATGTTGCTCGTACAATTAGGGATTAATAGTACGAGTGACGTTTGGAAATTTTGCCAAAATTGGACGAGCCGCCGGGGCGAGTATTAGCAAGACAAAATTGGATACTTCTCATGTCAACATATTCTCTCGCCAAAGCCCAGTCCTGCCAGACTACCAGCCAAAATTTGGTGCTTTTGTTCATATTTTCATTTAGTTCTTTTGTTAAAGCAACATTTGGTGCTTTTGTTCGTATTTTCATCTAATTTCATTTCACATTTGTATTTTGTTAAAATACCTTTCCGCCATTTTGTTTGTTTTGGGAAAATCATTAATTGTACTGCAGTACAATTAATGATGGTAATAGAACGAATAGGAGTGCTATTAATGCCATAATCATACGAGTGATTACAAAATCAACCGACCGCGTAGCGGGAGGTTGATTTGTTAATCACGAGTATGATTATGACATTAATAGTACGACTTAATTCGTTCTATTACTTATTAATTATTTATCTTCTGTAATCAAACTGCATGTTTAAGGGGGGAAAGCACAAAAATACAATTTGTTGAAATTCAAAATAATTATGAAATTTTTGTCACGACAATTCTTAGTGAAATAGTACAATTTTGAATTAAATTTATTATAATCAAATTAACATATTATTAACTTCCGGGTATTATTTCCGGTATAATCACATGACAACATTGTTTAATTATTCAACACACAATTGGGAAGCCATGTTTGCAAGTTGAAGTTTATAACGTGTTCAAAATAGTGAAGTTCTTTAGTTCAGTTTAATCTGAATCTGATTCAAATATAACCGCTGGTTGTGTCTAGTTCGGTGTCTTCTGCTGGAAGAACAGGTAGGTCATTTTCGTCAGAAAATATATAATTTAACAGCCCTCGAAAACGAGGTCGGCATTCGGCAATGCCAACCTAAATGCCGACCTATCAACCTCCCAGTCGGCAATTTTTTGCCGACCTTAATTCAGCCAAAGTAAGAATTTTTTTGGTGCTGATAGCTGTTAAAAAGTCGGCGATTATAGAATTCGATACACTTTGGTGTAAGGTTTAAAAATTAACGGGTATTCTATATATAATTTAGGTATTAAAGAAAAGCCTTCGTGACATTACTTTTCAATGATTCGTAAATACGTGATTACTAGTGCAGGCTAGTAGTGCTCCAAGACATGGAAACAGATTTAAAAAATGCCGAGATGATTATTAGCATGGCAAAATTACTGGATGCTGATTGGTTGAGAGGAGTACAATTATCTCATTAATTATTTATCTTCTGTAATCAGTGGCAAATACTGCAATTTCATTGGTTTACAGGAGTGCGATTTGAGCATTAATCGCACCTTTTCTGAGCTGTAATCGCACTCTTGTCTACAGCCAATGAGAAGTTAGTTAGAAAATGCTTAAGTGGACATGTACCACAGCTCTTTACCAATTATTTTAATTTTAATTTAATAGAGATTTAGTTAAGCGGGTTACTAGACAGAGTGGTCTACTTCACCTGCCGAGTGTTAGGTTAGAATCATCTAAAAAAGCATTTTATTACCATGGATGTGCTGTCTTTAATCGCTGGAAGAACGATCAGTCAAATTAGCATGTTTACTATATGTATGCATTAATATCTTTATAATAATACTTAATACTATTTGTTGTAATTTTTAATACTTAGTTCATATTGTATATGTAGGGCTCCTAATGATAACAGTTAATATTGTAACTGATTGGATTACCCTATTTAAATAAAAGTTTCTATCTATAAATGTGGTTGTAGATGAACCTTTTACTTTAAAATATAATGATTTCATCCCTCGATAGTCCCACGGATTCCAAGGAATGGTTGCACATGTATATGAATTTGACAAATATTTGACATGAAACTATGATGTGCTAGTATGTTAAAGAGGGATTTAAGGTTTTATATATTTAGCCAAGGACTCTGTTATGTATGAGCTTGATGAACTGGTGCAGGACAGAGCTCGATCAGCTGATCTGAGAATGCATGTTTGACATGTTTTACCAAAGATTGTAATTTGTGTGCTCTCTGATAGTTTGTTGTATGTATCTTTAAAAGACCATGAGCTTGTTTGCCCCATCCTCATGAGTATTGGGTCGACTCCTAGTATTGAGTGGACTGCAGTGCTGGCATATTTCCTTTCAGTTTGTATGGACAACCGGACTGGCTCAGTTTTTCAGAAGGTAATTAGATCTCAGTTATACCGGGAAGATATTTTATGGCTATGTAAACACAAACTGGACTGACTTGGTCAAAATAAAGTCAAAACAACAAAATTGGCTGTGAAAATATTGTCAAAACAATAGAATTGTGGCAATGAAATGATAAATTATTCTGCCAACAAGGCCACTGCCTGGCTTCCATATTGGTAGCCTCTATTGGCTATAATCTATTCTTGCTTATTAAAGAATGTTCCCACAATGAATTCATGCCACTGTTGTTATACTGTTAGTGAAACTCCATACCAAGCAACATGTTTCCGAAAATTAAAGACAATTTTGTATTATTTTAATTAAACTTGCATGGTCAAAGAATAATTATCAAATTAGCAGTAAATAATTTTAACTGTACAATCAAGTTACATATATAATACAGTATTATTAAAACTGTATAGCTCCATGGGCTATTCTTTGGCTGTTCCACAATTTGATTCCTAATTGATAGTACATATAATAACACATTCCCACAAAATTGTAGAGAAAAGTCATTGTTAGTTCTGCCAGTTAGGTCTGCCAAGAGCTAGTGCACAACTACTCTTGCTATTTGAACATTCAAAAGAACTTGTATTAATTTCTTGTCCACATGACTTACATCGCCCTAAATGAGAAATGTCCATTATACATATAAAATAGTGACAGTACCATATGAAGACACTGAAGATGTATTGGGTCACAGATCCCAGGCTCTGACTAGCTACAGGGAAATTTACTGTAGCTAGAGCAGAGCCCAAACTGTTCAGTTAGACATTGATATGTTAACCCAGTAAACAAGTAAAATTGTCTGGTGTTAGACATCTGGAGTAAAATAATAAAGTAGGGTGCATTAGGGTACAATTGCACAACTTAATGGGTTAATTAATATGTATGTCAAATAAATTGACTCAGGTAATTTTTCACATATAAGTTCTGCCATTTACTGTATAAGCCCATCTAATACCAGGCAATTTTACTTGTCACAAGGGGACAATCTAAGACTTGTCCATTATAAATAGATTAATTGTATTTCTTAACTATCCCATTAAGTTTCATTTTACATTACTATATCAAAAATAATCTATGCAGATCTAAGAGAGAATAATTAAAGTTCATAAATAAAGTCTAACTGAACAGTTGGAGTCTACTCCAATACTGGGAACACCACCACTGAAGCTGCTCTCAAACATGTTTTCAATCATCAATTTAATTGGTTAATAGACCTTATGCATAATGACATCACAAGGCTTAATGCCAGCGAGGAATGCTGGTCTTAGTAGTGAGTCATCGCCCGGGAAAATTAAACGATTCAAAATGGCCACAATCGAAATTTTCCCGGACGATGACTATTAAGACCAGCATTCCTCGCAGACATCAGGCCTTGTGATGTCATTATGCATAAGGTCTATTGTCAGGGCACAACTTTGGTCAATGCCAAGGGAACTGGTGAATGCATTGGCTGGCACACGTACACCCTTCATTACAAAATTATGGCTGTGGGGTTTATTGAACTCTGACAAACTATGTTGGGCAGATGAATGCATGCTGTAAACCTCTAAATGCTTATATTCGTTCATTAGCATTTTTGATGGGCTGAGCTGTTAGAATCCCCTTCACTGCATTAAAAAATATACCTGTCCAAAAATAAAAATGAATATCCAAAAATAAGTCCATGGGCTAACACAGAAGGGCTTAAATTCGGGAGAGGGCTTATATTCGGAATCTCCTGAACATTAGTTAATATGGTGGGATTATACACACGGGGGCTTATATTTGGAGAGGGGAAAGAGGGTGCTTATATTCAGAGGTTTATAAGGTAATTGCTTGATTGCAATGGGTATTGAATGGACATCTTTGGCCTATAGCAAAGCAATTTTCCACTTGCCTGTTGTAGAAGTGACATTTAATATACAGTAACTACACAATAATTGAATAAATAACTGCTACAAGAACCTGGCAAGGCTATCACTCAAAGTTTGTCAAGGAAAATTTGCTTATCTCTATAAACGCTTACGTAGTTACTATAAATATAAGTGCACAGTAAGGATTTTGACATCACATAGGCAGCCTTTTAAACCCTATGAAAACACATGAGGCTAGTGGTGAATCAAAAGAATAATAAAATTTACAGAATTCCCAACCATTTACATGGTTGTTAATATGTCTGCTGTTATACTTTATGGGGGTTTGTGCTTCGTACATTTCTGTTTTTAAAGCAAGCTATAGAATCTAGAAATATTCAAATATATAAAAATCTTACCGGTGAATAAGAATATTCTTCTTGTTTGGAGAATTCTCATACATCTGCGAGTGGCGCAAAAAGGCAGTATCCGTTGTAAATCAAGCAAATTGGGAGAAAAATATCAAGATTTTCAGTGAGATTTTAACCTCAAAAACAAAATATTTTGGCTTCAAACCAGGTGAAGTACATCGTCGAAAGCTTAGGATCGCGGTTGGGCATGGCAGTTGCCATGAATCTAGGGACAAGTAGTCATGGCAATGGCGTCAGATCTGCCATGTTTTTGGCAACACTTTTTTATGCCGAGCAGGTCCTCCAGTAATAGAGTATAGCTCAGTGGACTTAATATGCAAATAATGTATTTTAATTTTATTAAAAAATTAATATGACTGTTATTAATATCTTTCCATACAAGATTCTTACATTTCAATTACATAAATAGGCAATAATATTTAAGCAGAGCTATATAGCGCCTTTCGGAATGGGTTTTGATGGAAGACCAACATGTATTTACAGTATAGGTGCCAAGTGCAAGTGTTTTGCCAATTTGCCTCATGCATGCATGTCTCCACAAAAAGGGGTATGTTACAGTGCGCATACTGTAATTGTTATGTACTAGATGGTTTTTGCAGATGGAATTTTCAAATATAAATTTAATATTTAGACCTAACCAGGGGTAGCTGTTGTGAAAAATGCAACTGGGCAATTTCATGTTGCGGACATTACATTCACAGGAAAACAATTAATACAAAACATGCTCTGTTTCCTGTTTGCAACAGTTTCAGATCTGGGAACTTTGTCATAGAAAACCTTAAGGGGACCTCTTAATATTTCATAATATTTCTTAAAATTCCCTCGTAATCACTTCTTGTAATAAAAAGTCAAAGTACTGTTGCGGACATTACAGCAAAATCAACCACACATTGAAGTGATGTTCTTAAAATGTAATTTCCTGTGAATTTTGAAAGGTATCACAGGAACTAAAACACTGCCTGCTCTCAGTGATACTTGGGGTTAAAAAATATGAAAACGAGATGTTCTACAATGCCCTTGCGCAGCTTCTATAGTGCAAAGTTTGTGTTGCGGACATTACACTGAAACTGTTGCGGACATTACATTTTTGGGATTGTATAGCAATCTGTATTAAAAATAATAGGAAATCAAAACTGGGTGACTGATTATGCACTTCAATGTTTCTAGTCTACATAACAGGCATTCTAGCTTAATTACGCCCGGGCGTACCAGGCGGGGGGGGGCTAGAGGGCGGCAGCCCCCCCCCCAGTTTGTTGGGCTATCAAAGCCAGTCGGGCAATATTCGCTTATTATAAAAATAAATGGGACAAATTCTGTCAATTTTGTGGGGAATTCTGTCGGTTTTGTGGGAAATATGCTATCTCCGGAAAAAAAAAATTTGACAACGCGGGCACAATCCGAAAAAGTAGGGCAAATTTCTTTCCTTCCCCCTAATTTTTTCCTTCCCATACGCCCATGTGTATACCAACATAAATCCTGGGATGAAATCATGGTCACATATATTACAGTATATAATCTTCTGTTGACAATATAAATTTAATATCTTTCAAAAGTGCAATATTTGTTGTGCATTGACTCAGGCAATGATTCGGGTTGTGCAGCAAAAAAGTGTCATGTTTGTAGACCATTCTATTTGACAGTTTTGCATTTACTACATTTGGTGGAGATAATTAACACCCCTGACTTTAGTGGAAGATGATCAAAACAAACATGAACTAAAACATGATTTTGCGCTTAACAACATATGCCTTACAAAACTGATGGTACAATGGCAGTATACGCGGTAGTGGCATTATATGTAACTTGGAAACTTTCCATGATGAATTGTGTCACTGTGATTGTGTATACACAACGGAGTGATTATAGCTAAAAGTAGGGTCCCATAGTCCTTTTAATGTTCTATTTTTAAGTCATCAAGCTTAAAATAACTATAGAATTCAAGCAAGACAATTAATAATAAGCATCTAATTCTCCAAGTTCAAAATGTAATGTCCGCAACGTAATGTCCGCAACACATTATTCAAGACATGTTAATACTTTTTATTGTCTTTTTTCAGTCTAAAATAATGTTAATACCATTTTAAAAAAGCAGAACAAATATAATGTCAAAAGAGCTAGACGTTTGGCTGAAAAATAAATTGAATTGTTTTTTTAGTTGCGGACATTACATTTCTCTTACCCAAACTCTGATGCACCATAAATCACAGCAACACTGGATATTATCTGATCTAACATTATCATCATGATATTTGAACCTTAGACTGTGTTTGTTAAGAAATATAACTTATTTCAAAGTTAAAGTGACTGAGATATAATTATTTTAAATGAACACACTTTATCCACAGAACAATAGCAACAAACAAGTGCAGATTCAACGGTTTGCCGCAGAGTGGGCATGCGGCAAAATTCAAAAATCGTTTTGATTTATGATAATCCAATGTGTTAACTATGGAAACATGTGGTTAGCACCACATAATGTTGCATTTTGCAATTTTGCCATTTTCAATGTCTCATGTGAAATTGACCAACTATAGCCCGTCTGGCAGGAATTCGAACCTGCCATCCTACATTCCTGGTGCAGCTAGGGCCTCAGTTGTTCAAACTTCAAAGCTGGATTACAGCTAACCCTCGGTTAAAATTTAACCTGCTGTTTTAGTTTATGATGTGCGGAGTGGTTATATTACTACCTTAAAAAATAAGCAGATGTTTTAGTTTATGCATTTCTTCATATCTGTTTATTTCAAAACTTCAGAGAAAAGAATTTCTACTAATCCAGACAAGATTGCTGAAGAAATATTTATAAACAAGCTGTTAGGATGTTTGCTTTGAATTTTAGGTTAACCTAGTGTTAAGCTAATCAGCTTTCGAACAACCGGCCTCAACACTTTAACCAACGTACTGAGCTGCATGCAGAGTTCAATACTTCAATTGCCAAACCTTGACCAATAATGGGTGATGCCAGTAGGACTAATAGCTAGTAGATGGTGTTTTTTTTACTTTTTGTAGATGGAATTTTCAAACATAATTTATACATACGTTTTAGACCTAACCAAGAGCAGTTAATTGCAAAAAATACAGCTTTATAGGCCCTCTGGCAGGAATTGAATCTGCGGCCAAACAATTCTGGTGCAGCACTCTAACCAACGACTTAAGGGTTAGCAACTGGAGTTACTGGACTCGGGGAAAATTTTGAAATCTAGAGTCCCTAAAGTGCGATTTCAAGCATTTGGGGGGTGAAATCTTGCAGAATTCCGAAGATTATAAAGTACATCGAAGACATGAATTTTCCCAGACATTTCTAATTTTCTACTCGGAATTAAATAAATTGGAAAATTCACCTTGAAAAACAGGAGGAGCTGGTCAGCGTCACCTTATTTCCCCTCTGTGATGCTGGGGGAAGAAAATCCCAATGTGATTTTGATCAGAAATGTTGCATTTAAATCATTCTAGGTTTTATGAGACAGCATTTCCACATTCTCAAAATTGCGTTGCCTTTTTATACAATACAGAATAAGTCTGAGAAGAATATTCATGGTATGGTGTATATTAAATGCATACATATAAATCTAAACTAAATCTATTCTTCTTGGAACCATATCTACAACTGCTTTAACGAGATTTTACAAATCAAGTTCCTCCAGTATATCGTCGTTCTCCTCAGTCGAGACGTACTTAATCAGTTTCAGCTTCGAGGATGTAACGTGTACCCCCTCGCCCCCTCCCAATTTCTCTACAGATTTAGTCTTTTTCAGAGAATGTTTTTTTTTCGATTGGGGGGGGCGGTCGCCCCCCCCTCGCCCCCCCCCCCTGGCTACGCCACTGGTTAGGTCTGATTGAAAATGTATATAAATTAATCTTCAAAAATTCCATTTACAAAAACCAATCTCCTATAATTAGTCCTACCAAACAAGACGCCCAAAAATCACAATACTACTGTACACCTATGACAACATTTTGTAGCTTGAAATGTTAGTAATTTTTTAACTTTTTTTGCTGAATTCAGTGGCAAAGCTAGCCAAATGCAACAGGCCATGCTATGCAAATTGTTAATGATTTAACCTATTTAGCTGCAGGTCTATTAGCATCTATATCATGACCAGTAGCCATGGCTAGTAGAGGACTAGAGGTGTGGATCGGATCGGATTGGACGTTTATAATCCAACAATTGGCTAATGTTTAAAATCCGATCCGAAATTGTCTAATCCGAATCCGAGGTTTGATAAAGAATTTCGAACCGATCCGAAGAATCCTTTAATAAAATAAATTTCTCATTCAAGTTGAAATATTTAACCAAATAATGAGTAGTCACTGGATAATTAATTCATTTTATTTCGAATATCGAAGTCCGATCCGACTATGAAACAACTTTATCAATCCAATCCAAAATGTATATTTTTGTTCCGAAATCCGAACAAATCCAATCCAATCGGATCGGGTTCGGATCGGATTTGCACACCTCTAATAATGGCTAGCTTCGCCACTGACTTAATTTATAGCTTACCAACATTAATTTCATGCTTGAAAATTACTGGTACAGCTTTGTTCCACATGCTGTTATTCAGCTATTGATCAAAAGCTTTCAGAAAAAAATGGGGGGGGGGGGCAGTTGCCCCTCCTGGCCACTGTATTGTACCATGTCACTGTATTGTACCATGTAATCAGAACTGAGAATTGAAATGCTACCAATAGGCAATTCCAGCTTTTAGTTTATGCCTGCAGGGGATGATGGGAAGTAAGGTATCATAGTGCTGATTATGCTGAAAAATTTCAATAGAGTGTCACATGTTTTTGGGCATGGCCGCAATTTTTTGTTGTTGTGGAATTGTGGTGTTCTATTCGTTGAACCTTTTTACTTTTCGATCCACACACGTCTGTCAATACTTCAATTCAGCCATATACAACATGTTTTCGATGGGAAAAAGTATGAAAACATATACCATAAGTAAAGTAAACAGCAGATGACAACAATTCGAAGTATCCAAGAAATATTACAAAGCTTACAGGAAATAATTGCAATATACAAATCACAATGACAATGCTTACAGCTTCAGTATTAAATATACTGTTAAATGTGACATTAAGGACCGGTCATTATTTGTGGAAGGGGGGAGGGAATTTTTTCTTTTCTAAATTTTTAAAATTGAAAGCCCCCCCCCCTTAAAAGAGCAGAAATTTAATGATGACCCCCCTACATATTAGAATATTTTTCTTTGACCCCCCATTTTCATTTTTGCTCCTCAAATGGGGATACCCAGCCATTATAGTGTTAATTATTAATTAAATAAGAATATGGAACTGACAAGATATTAACGTTGACCAAAAATATATATTAGCAGAAAATTATAATTAAAAGAGGGATATTTTCGTATATAACTCTAACTGATCAGGTTTCCATTTGGTCGGAGCGATTGTAACCATGTTTAAAGGCAGAGAATTAATATTAGTGTGCAGCCAGGTGCCGTTTGTGGTCCAAGGCTGTAACTAGATTTGATGGCACGAAGTATTGCCATAGCAGCTGCGCAGCAACGAGAGTAACAATCAGTAATATTAGCAGCAAAAGGACATAGCCATAACAATTCTGGACATTCTGCCAAGGCATACCTCCGGCACAAGTCACACTAACAAGTCAGTGGAAACGAAATACAATGTATAGTGGTCTATACATGGTCTATACATCCTATTTTATATGAGATTAAAAATTATATAAAATAAAATGACATACTACCAGATAAAATCCTCTAGAATAAACATGGGTGGGTGGGTAAGGAAAAGGTATCTAGTAAGCGCTAAACTTGCTGCAGCTAGGCAAAGCATACAATGGCAGAATGAATACCCAGACCGAAGCACTGATCACAAGGCTAAGGTTTTAACTTTATAATATCCTATGGTTTCCTATTCATGTAATGTGTTTGGTCGATGTATAGTCATTTATTAGGAGTTAGGTGTCAATTGGGACGCAAGTCCTGTTCCTCTCTCCAGTCACACCTATGTTGTATTTTTGCATGTTCTATACTAGTGTCAGTAATCAATCTTGTTTGTATGTAAATGAATTGTGACAAATAAAAAAAAAAAAAAAAGGTGCGAAACAACCTCCTTTGATCGATATGACGTCACAGACTCCCCTCAGCGGATGTGGCCTGCATAATACATCCGCCGTTAACCTTGCTTAAATGTATTTAACCACATCAACATAGCTGATGTAATAATACATTGTCAATTATATTTATCTCTGCAATCATGCAGTAAAGACTGATTTGCATACAGCACACAGAAGACAACTCACTAGATAAATCCAGACTATTTCACATCAGTGACCATGATTTAGTTGCAATTACAACCATATGGATACCATGCTTATTAAGCAAATTCCTTCAAATTTAATTGCAACCCCCCCCTCGTTTTCTTGAAAAAATTTAATAGCCCCCCCCCCCTTCTAGTCATTTATTTAGACATATGGCCCCCATCCCTTATTTTTTCCCTCCCCCCCTGCCATAAATAATGACCGGTCCCTTATAGCTAGTCGCTTGGTGGTCCTAATGGTGCAAGCGAATGATAAAATTTAACAAACGAAGTAGATTTATACGACATTATATACCAATAAAACATCTTATTTTTCATCCTGCTCGGTTTCCTTTGTTCTTAGGGGAATATATTCAATATTCTCCTCTAATCAATTCCCTCTAATATTCACCTGCAATGTCTTTGCAGCACAAAAAATGAGAAAAAGTTCAAAAAACAACATCGCGAAGGCAATATGGCATTAAGAATTATTTCTATTCTGACTCATAAAAATAAGTACGTTATTTTGAGGCACATCGGGATATGTGATTTATCCCCTCGTTGCCTCAAAATATAAACCTATACATATTCATATATTAAATATATCACACTGAGTCTTATATTACCTGAAGACATCAAGCCTGCGAAGCAAACACGACGCCGCACACGTACTAAAGATGTAACAAAATAATCCTTTCTTCTTTCGTCCTTGACTATTTTGCTTCTATCAATACGACAGAACAAATAGATCAAGACGGTAACGAATATTTATGAATTGTCAGCTGTTTTGAAAGGCTGTTTTGAAACGTTGTTTTGAAAGGCATCAATAATCAATAATATTATATTTATAAATGACTGGCACGTGTCATTTCACGTGTTGTATTAATAATTACCATTCAATGATAATTACTCGCTGGGGTACCTATGCATCTCCAATCGTCGATAGCCACAAACAGGGCCTATCAGGGAGGGGGGGGGGGG